GTGCCTCAAGTGGTAGAGCTGAAGAGCTGAGGGACAGCGACCAGGCCCAGAGTTCAGGGCCCCACGACTGGACCCAAAAAAAAAAAAAAAGATTCTAGCCAATAGGGATATGCACCCTCTGAGATTGGGCAGAATTCATGCTTGCTTTTTCCTTGCTTCTGGTGTATTAGTACTAGCTGTATTAGTACTTAGTGTTCCTTGGTTTACTGAAGTATCACTATTACCTTTATCCAATTTTCCAGGACACCAAGCCTGGTGGTACCAGGGGTTCATGCCTATAATCAATCCTAGGTACTTAGGAGGCTGAGATCTGAGGATTATGGTTTGAAGCCAGACCAGGCAGTTAAGTTCATGAGACTCTTATCTCCAATTAACCACACAATAAAGCTGGAACTGAAGCTCTGACTTAAATGGTAGAGTGTTAGCTTTGAGCACACAAGCCCAAGCCCTAAGTTTAAGCCTCAGAACTGGCACAATCAATCAATCAACCAATCAATCAATCCATAAACCAGTTACATCAGATAAGGATTAACCCAATAATTTGATCATTTGGTTCACCATCCATCCTTCCATTTATTTTTCAGCTTGGTGGTACTGCAGTGTGTTTATCAGCATGTGTAAGGCCCTTGGCTCAATCTATAACACCATGACCATACTAACCCATTCATACCCATACACCTAAAGTTGGGAAACTGACAGAAAGAATGTGCATGTCAATATCCAAAATCTATGAAGTAAGAAGTAAAAAATTAGTAAGCATAGTACTTTTGTATAGTTGGCCTCAAACCCAGGATGCTCCTGCCTGGGCCTCATCAGTATTGGGTGCGATTAGATGTGTATGCCATCACATCTAGCTAATTAAAAGGCCTAAAACAATTACCTAATAATTATGTGAGGAGTGGGGAAATGTACTTTTTTTTTTGGTCAGTCGTGGGTCTTGAATTCTGGGCCTGGGCACTGTCCCTCAGCTCTTTAGCTCAAGGCTAGCGCTCTACCACTTGAACCACAACACCACTTCTGGTTTACAGGCGGTTAACTGATTTTCTTGCCCAGGCTAGGCTTTTTTTTTTTTTTTTTTTTTGTCGGTTGTGGGGCTTGAACTCTGAGCTTGGACGCTGTCCCTGCTTCCTTCAGCTCAAGGTGAGGGCTCTACCATTTGAGCCACAGTGTCACTTCCGGTTTTCTAGTGGTTTATTAGAGATAAGCATCAAGGACTTTCCCGCCTGAGCTGGCTTTGAACCGTAATCTTCAGATCTCAGCCTCCTGAGTAGCTAGGATTACAGGTGTGAGCCACCAGCACCCCGCTTCCATGAGACTCTTATTTCCAGTTTATTACCAGAAAATCATAAGTGGTGCTATGGCTCAAAGTATAGTATAGGGCTAGCCTTGAGCAAAAAAAGGCTCTGAGTTCAAGCCCCACAACTGACAAAAAAAAAGGAAAAGAAAAAGAAAAAAAGTACACATTACCTGACTTATGAAACGGTAACCCCTTTGTATAATACGTTAATAACAAAATTATATTTTAAAAAAATATAAAAACCTCCTACATCTTAATCTGTGTACAAGATCACTAACTCTCTTATAAAGTCATTTCTTCATCTGTAAAAAAAAGATAATGCTTATTCTCAGTTACCACATATAATATACAGTGCTTTGACATATAGCATTCAATGTAAGAGAGTTATAATTACTTACATTTGCTACCACTTTTACTTCTTTGTATTGTGCTTCATAGAAAATTCCAGCATTTTCCAGTGCTTCTGTTAGTGAGGGTCCATTTTTCACCTGCTTATCTAATCCATTCACAAATTCCTCCAGTTTAGAGCTTGCTTCCTCAAATTCTTTAGAGAACTTCTTTCCTCCTGTTTTATCTAAAGTAATGAAAAAGTATTTATTTCTAGATTTTTTTTAGAAAGTAAAAAATTTAACTTTTGAAGAAAACTCCTCTCTATGAACCTTGTTACCTCAGTATGTAACTTGTTTTTTTTTTTTTTTAAGAGACAGGGTGTAGCTATGTAGCCCATGTTTCCCTCAAACTTGTGATGATCCTGTTTTTCCTACCAAGTGTTAGGTTTACAGATCTACCATCAAACTAGGTTCTTAGGTGTATAATATTTCTAGACTGGGGGTTGGGGATACTTGTGGAGGTGGGAGGGAAGGGATGGTAGGGGAAAAACAAAGGAGGAGACAACAATGCTCAATAGGAAATGTACTCATTACCTTGCTAATGTAACTGTAACCCCTCTGTACAACATTTTTAAAATAAAAGACGTACAAAAAAGATTTCTAGATATAGTTTTACTTTAAAGAAGTACCTATAAATCACAGTCACAAAAAGATTAATAAAGCTTGACACAAATTAATTTAAACCTGATAAAGTAATAGTGAAAGTACTTGTGAGTAAACAAAGAAAACAAAGTCCAACTAAAACAGTTTGTTGATTATATTTTTTCTTCATAAATCTCTTATTGAGGAATAATAATGAGGCACAATTCTGTTTACCTACATTATACTGTCTGTGTCAAAGCTGGTAAGATATTTCTTAGATGAGAAAATGAAGGTTCACAAAAAGTAAAAAGAGAAGTGATCTGCTCATGTAATTGTAACTCCTCTGTACAATATTTTCACAATAAAAAAAAAATAGAAGTGATCTCTGTGTTTATCGTACTATTCTTTTTTTTTTTTTTGCCAGTCACAGGGCCTGAACTCTGGGCCTGGGCGCTGTCCCTCAGCTCTTCAGCTCAAGGCTAGCATAACACTTGAGCCACAGCGCCACATCCAGCTTTTTCTGCTTATGTGGTGCTGAGGAATGGAACCCAGGGCCTCTGGCATGCACGGCAAGCACTCTACCACTGAGCCACTTTTGCAGCCCCATGTACTAAACATTCTTGAAGCCCGGTGCTGTTGGCTCACACCTGCAATCCCAGCTACTCAGGAGACTGAGATCTGAGGATTGTGGTTGATGGCCAGTCTAGACAGGAAAATCCTTCAGACTTTTATCTCCAATTAACCACCTGACAAACTGGAAGTGGTATTGTGGCTCAAGTGGTAGAACACTAGTCTTGAGCTAAAGAGCTCAGGGACAGTGCCCAAGCCCAGAGTTCAAGTCCCACGACTAACAACAACAACAAATCCTGACTCCTATCTGAAAAAGACTTGGGGGAGTGGGGGTTGGGGGAGGGGAGTGTCAGTTTGCCAGTTGTGGGACTCAAAACTCAGGGCCTGGCGCTGTCCCTGACCTTTATCTGCTTAAAGCTAGCACTCTACCACTTGAGCCATGCTTCGTCTACTTCTGGCTTTTTGGGTGGCTAACTGGCAATAAGAGTCTCACGAACTTTCCTGCCCAGGTTGGCTTTGAACTATGATCCTCTGATCTCACCCTCCCGAGTAGCTAAGATTACAGACGTAAGCCACCAGCACTCAGCCTTAATAACTTGACATACTTTCCAGAGAATATGGATATGACAAGATATTACAGTGACCTTATATAAGTGCAAACACAAACCAGTTAACCACAGTTACGAAATATAATTATTTTAGTTGGGTGCCAGCGACTCACGCTTAAAATCCTAGCTACTCAGAAAGCTGAGGTCTGGAGGATTATAGTTCAAAAGCCAGTTTTAGTAGAAAAGTCCAAGAGATCCCCTATCTAAAAAAAGCCAGCAAGGGGCTGGGAAGGTGGCTCAGTGGTAGAATGCTTGCCTTGCATGCATGAGGCCCTGGGTTCGATTCCTCAGCACCACATAAGCAGAAAAAGCCAGAAGTAGCACTGTGGTACAAGTAGTAGAGCGCTAGCCTTGAGCTGAAGAGCTCAGGGACAGCGCCCAGAACCAGAGTTCAAGCCCCACAACCAGCAGAAAAAAAAAAAGCCAGCAAGCCAGATGTTAATGGCTTACAATTATAATTCTAGTGACTCAGAAGAAGTGACTGAGATATGAGAATCCTAGTTCAAAGCCCATATATATAACTACCAAAAAGATAGAAGTGGAACTGTGGCTCAAGTGGTAGAATACTAGCCTTGAGCAAAAAGAAGCTCAGGGATAGTGCCCAGGCCCTGAGTTCAAGTCCCAGAGCTGGCAAAAAAAAAAAAAAAGAGTTTACCTATGATGTTACTTATGACTCTCTCTCCCTCTCTCTTTGCTGGGGATTAAACTTTATTGGGGTCAACCAGTTTGAGTGCCTAAAAATGGCAGATCTGGAAAGCAAAGCCAGAAATATTCTATTTAAAAGGATATCTTACCTTTTAAGCACTTTAGAGTTTCTGTGCTGCATACATCCACCCTCATTGTTGATAACTGTTTCTCTTTCAATTCTATCTGATCTTCTGAGCGCTTATACAGCAATAGCTCTTCAATGAGGGCCTGAGACTGAATGCAGACCAGAGTCATATTTCACTTACAGATCATTTAATTGTTTTTATTTTACCTCTCCCATAAATAAAAAACAAACAAAACACCACTAAAGCCTAATGAAATTCCAAGAGGAAAAAAACAAAACAAAAAACCCCACAACACCTACTTTTTCTTAAAGTCAAGGATGTCATGATCAATTCTCATGTCAAATCATATTTTTTTGCTGAGCACCACAGTAGCTCCTGCCACAATGCAAGCTACTTGAAAGGTGAGATTGGAAGAATCAAGATTTACAGCCAGTCTGGGCATAAAACCTCTCTCACCAATAACTGAGCACAGTGACATACACCCGTCATCTTAGCTAAAATGGGAGTATAAAGGAGGTGGATCATGGTACAGGTGTGGACCTATAGTAAAACTGAAACCTTATCTCAAAAATAATCAGTGAAATAAAAGTCTGAAGATGTGGAGAAACTCTGCTAGGAAGCAGGAGGTCCTTGTTCAACGCAGTACCATCATAAACAACGCCCCCCCCAAAATAAAAACTATTTTACATAAGTTCTATTTCCTTAGTTACTTATAGCTAATTTATGAATACAGAATCAGGAATGAAATGGACAAAGGTGGTCAGGTGCCAGTAGCTCACGCTTGTGATCCCAGCTACTCAGGAGCCTGAGATCTAAGGATCATGGTTCAATTTTAGTATATGTGCTGCCGAAGTGAGCAAGGATCATGGTTCAAAGCCAGCCTGGACAGGAAAGCCCATGAGACTCTATCTTCAATAAAGCACTTTAAAAAAAAAAAAGGAAGTTGTGCTGTGTCTTAAGTGGCAGAGTGCGAGCCTTGAGCAAACAAAGCTAAAGGACAGTGTCCATGATCTGAGTTTAAGCCCCAGGATAGGCAAGAAAGGCAGGCAAGGGGCTGGGAAAGTAGCTTAGTGGTAGAATGCTTGCCTAGCATGCATGAAGCCCTGGGTTCGATTCCTCAGTACCACATACACAGAAAAGGCTGGAAGTGGCATAGTGGCTAGAGTGGTAGAGTGCTAGCCTTGAGCAAAAGAAGCTCAGGGAGAGTACCCAGGCCCTGAGTTCAAGTCCCAGGACTGGCAAAAGAAGACCAAGAGGAAAAGGAAGAGAGCTGGGCGCTGGTGGCTCATGCCTGTAATCTTAACTACTCAAGAGGCTGAGCTATGAAGCTCACTGTTCAAAGCCAGCCCAGGCAGGAAAGTCCATGACACAAGACTCCAATAAACCACCAGAAACCTGGAAGTGGCGCTGTGCCTCAAGTGGTAGAGCTGAAGAGCTGAGGGACAACGCCCAGGCCCAGAGTTCAAGCTCCATGACCAACCAGGGAAGTGAAAAGAGAGGGGAGGGAAGGGGAGGGGAGAGGAGGGGAGAGGAGGGGAGGGAGAAGGAAGGAAGGAAGGAAGGAAGGAAGGAAGGAAGGAAGGAACGAGGGAGGGAGGGAAGGGAGGAAGGGAAGAAGGAGGGGGAGGAAAGGGGAAGGGGGAGGGAGGAAGGGCAGGCAGGCTCAAGAGAGAAAGGCGAGACGAAGGCAAAAAAAAAAAAGAGGCAGGGCAGAAGAGAGAAGAAAGAGAGAAGAGAGAGGAAGAGAGGATGGGATGTAGAGAGAGACAAAGGCCCACTAACATGCTTTAAAATTTCCAATTAGGGGGCTGGGAAGGTGGCTCAGTGGTAGAGTGCTTGCCTTGAATGCATGAGGCCCTGGGTTCGATTCCTCAGCACCACATAAGCAGAAAAAGGCAGAGGTGGTGCTGTGGCTTAGGTGGTAGAGCTTGAACTGAAGAGCTAAGTAACAATGCCCAGGCCCAGAGTTCAAGCCCCGAGACCGGCCAAAAAAAATCCAATTAGCCTATAATCATAGCTACTTAAGAGGCTGAGATCTAAGGATTACAGTTTGAAGCTAGCTCAGACAGGAAAGTCTGTGAGACTTCTCTCCAATTAACCACCAAAAAAACCCGGGAAATGGTACTATATGGCTCAAAGTAATGGAATGCTAGCTTTGAGAGAAAAAGCTTGGGGACAGTACCCAGGCCAAATTCAAAGCCCCAGAACAGACAGAAAAAACAATTCCAATTAGGTAAACACAATCTTTGTTATTTGAGATTGCTAATTTAACTGAGCTTCAAAGAAAGATGAGCGCGCTGGGAATGTGACTTAGTGGTAGAGTGTTTGCCTAGCGTGCATGAAACGATTCCTCAGTACCACATAAACAGAAAAAGCCAGAAGTGGCACTATGGCTCAAGTGGTAAAGGGTTAGCTTTGAGCAAAAGAAACTCAGGGACAGTGCTCAGGCCCTGAGTTCAAGTCCCAGGTAAGTTAAAAAAAAAAAAAAGAAAGGAAGATGAGCTTCCTTCTGGTATGAAACACAGAACTCAGCTCATAACAAGTATTTGGAAGGTTATTTCCCCCATAGAGAAACAGATAAAGCTATCTAATCCCAATCTGGCTTCTTTAGAACAGTTTAAGCTTGTTTAGAATGTAATAGTACAACAGAGTAAATCTAAGTACTACTGGCCTATAGATGAAATTGTAACTAAAAATGGGTAATACTTTCTTGTAGTTAAACATTTTGTAACTTACTCGGAATTCAGCGACTATTTTAGACTTGAGAGCAGCTTTTGGATTCGAGGATGCTGTTGGAATTAAAGAAAAGGTAACTGAGAATACCAATGCATAGAATTTACTAAATCCAGGAAAAATTTAGATATATTAGGTTAAGGGAATATTCTTCAAATACATAGCAAACATGCACAGTTAAATCGTAATTCCTAGAGTAATGGACTATGAAATTTAAACACTCTTAACTATGGTAATAAAAAAATACACTATTTAGATTAAGTCTAACCAACTTACCTCCAGCAGACTCTTGGGAGTCCTAGAATTGCTGATTTGGAGACATGAGATACATAAAGTACCTTCTTTTCCTAATCTCACTGAGTATAAGAAGATCTCAATACCTCAAAGTAAGTGTTTAGGAACAGGATATCCAATTAATCCTGACCACTGGCTGAAAAAAATATCAACTCTATTCCCACATATTTAGTTTTGGATTTTTCTGCTGACTCAATTCATAACAACAACAACAACAACAACAAAAAGGCAAGGGACATCTTAAGTAAAGTATCACTGTGGTTGAACTTTGGCTGAAATGATGACTCTTGTTGTTTCTAAGCATGCAACTCATGAACAAAAAAAAAGTCAGACAACACTCTTAATCACGATGAACATCATATGCTTGATGGAGCAAAACCTTCCCAACTGTCTTGTTTCACCTCCCAATTCTGTCTTCTACCTTGTTCCCTCCACACCTTCAAGTCTCTCAGTATTCCTCAGTTTTCCCATAGCAGCCTATCACATGCAGTATTTCACTCCCTTGATCACATGCTGGGTAAATACGGTCAATATAATAGGAGCTCCTGTGAGAAAATGAGCTTCTTGCCAGGATATGAGATATGAGGCTCAAGTCTAACTTGGCAGAGCGTATCCCCAAATCAGAAGGATTTCATGGCTACCACAGACATGCTTCTTAATGCCTAGTCTCCTCTTCAGCTCTGTTGTTTAATGTCGGCTGCCTCTAACTTCATATATCTTTGAACCTAAGAATTTGCCTGGGCACTATCAAGCATTTTCTTCTTCTTTTAATCCCCCAACTACTTGTGAATCTTCACTCAGTAAAACCCTTTTTCTGCTTTTCCTTTGTTTAAGAGAATTTTTAAGAAGTAACTTCATCATGGCTTGTTTAATGTAAGTAACTGGGAGCCTCCCAGGCCTGGAAAACACAGGCTTGCCCATGGTTTATGCCAGGTACGATGTCAAATGGTCTACATTTTCTTCTGCTCCAAAAGAGGAGATAATTTTATATTAGTTGAGATTTTGTTCCTTACTTTGTGATTTCTTCCACTGCTTATTCGGTTGTTTGTTCAGATTTTCTTTCAGCTGCTTCTGAGTTTTGAAAGAGGTACCTGGAAAACATTTCAGTTTTTGCAATCTGGCATTATGGGAAGCTGTTCTGTTTGTCCACTTCAGTGCCAAAGTTGCAGCATGAAAAAAGGCAATCCGAGACTGTAGTTTTTCTCTTTCCTTTTCTTTCATTTTTATAAAAAAATAGAAACACCCACTAGATCTAAGAAGCTGTCAAACAATGTTTATAATCAATGAAATTCCTCATTGTGCAAAGAATAGGGTAGGAGGCTTAAAGATTCCAGTTAACACACTCAAGAATTTAACAGCTTCTTAGAAAATGGTTATTTTAAAAACAAATTTCTAGTCAAACAATGGTCATGGTAGTAGATTATCACCAACTTCTATTTGATTAATTATATGCATCAAATATCTAAGAACTAGATTAACTTTAGAAAAAGAAAACACTGACTGAAATTTTATTAGGAAAGGAAGGGGGATAAATGATGGGGGAATTACTTAGAATATATTATATACATGCATGGAAATGTCACGGTAAAATCCTTCCCCTTGCATAGCTAATGTATGCTTTAAAAAAAAAAAAGACTTCATATATACTTACTACCAAATAGCTTGGTGAGTACAAAAACTGTCCAAAACTTTCCAACACAAAGACAAGAGTAATGTTTATTAAATACAATTAAGGAACAGTTTTAAAATGTTCAATTAAAGCAAATGCATGAAAATAATCAGATAGCTATTATCAATTAATGTGCTTGATGTTTTCAGTCAATAGAAATAAAATCCAATCTCTCAGCCCAAAACTAATTCTACTTAAATTTTTCATTCAAACAGATCTAGATTTTCACAAGAATTTAGTTTTAAAGCCAGATTAAAATTTTTATTACATAATAGAATCCTCTATCTCCTATGTATACAGAATTGTAGAGACTGATAAAAAAAAAATTTTTAAGGAGGAAAAAAAGATACTTACTCAAAGCTTCTCTAAGTGCCACAATCATTTCTTCTGGGTATACATTTCTATCTTCCCAGATTTTAAAGATTCGTTCTATAGATTTAGAGACAGATGGATCCCTAAAGAAAAACAGTATAAAAATATTGACTTACTCCTTTTCATTGGAAACGTCACCTTTCAGTAATTTGCCAAAATGATGAGCAAAAAGGGAAGCAAAGAGGTAGTTGATAATGTTCTCTAGGACTCTTAAAAAAAAAAAAAAAGCTGAGAAGGTGGCTCAGTGGAGAGTGCTTGCCTTGCATGCCAGAAGTGGTGCTGTGGCACAAGTGGTAGACTAGTGCCAGCTTTGAGCTGAAGAGCTGAGGGATAGGGCCCAGGCTCAGAGTTCAGGCCCCACAGCCAACAAAAGAAAAAAGAAGAAAAAAAGAAAAGAAAAAAGTCCATGAGACTCATATCTCCAATTAACTATCAAAAAGCCAGAAGTGGAGCTGTGGCTCAAACAGAGCACTAGCCTTGGGGAAGGACGGTGGGTGTGGGATCTCAGAGACAGCACCCAGCTTCTGCACAAAAAAAAACAAAAAGAATGGCCGGGCGCTGGTGGTTCGCACCTGTAATCCTAGCTACTCAGGAGGCTGAGATCTGAGGATCACGGTTCAAAGCCAGCCTAGGCAGGAAAGTCTGTAAGACTCTAATCTCCAATAAACCACTAGAAAACCAGAAGTGGCACTGTGGCTTAAGCAGTAGAACACTCGCCTTGAGCTGAGGGACAGTGCCCAAGCCCAGAGCTCAAGCCCCATGACCAACCAAAAAACAAAACAAAAAACCAAAAAACCAAAAGAATGATTTCTTTCTTTCCTTTTCCATTCTCTGTCTATCTTTTTGTCATTGTGGGGGTTGAACTCTGGGCATTGTCTCTGAGCTCTTCAGCTCTACCACTAGATCCACAGCACCACTTCTGGTTTTCTGAGTGGTTTATTGGAGATAAGAGTCTCATGAACTTTCCAGCCTGGGCTGGCTTTGAACCGTGATCCTCAGATCTCAGCCTCCTGAGTAGCTAGGATTACAGGCATGAGCCACCGACACCTGGCATCAAAAAAACTATTTCTTACAGAGGCTGAAAAGTCTAGGATCAAGATACTAGGCAGCCTCAGTGTCTAGTAAAGGCCTTCTTGTAGCATTCTCACATGTTAGAAGGGAGAACGGCAAAAATGGGCTTGAATTGGTTTCATATAAGCTACTATCAATGACACAAAACATTTTCTATCTTTCACTGTTGCTGTTGACAAGTCTGTCAGTTTAAGTACCACTTTTTTTTTGGGGGGGGGGGAAGGGTCGGTCATGGGGCTTGAACTTTGAGCCTGAGTGCTGTCCCTCAGCTCATGGCTACCACTTGAGCCACAGTGCCACTTCTGGTTTTCTGGTGGTTTATTGGCTAATTGACAGTAAGAGTCTCACTGACTTTCCTGCCAAAGCTGGTTTTGAACAGTGATCCTGAGATATCAGCCCCCTGAGTAGCTAGGATCACAGCATGAGCCCACTGGCACCGACTTTTTTTTTTTTTTAATCATTAGCTGCTTTGGCATTTAATTTTGGGAAGACGGGATTTGATTCAGAACCTCCAGCTTGCTAAGCAAGCACGCTACCACCTGAAACCCACCTCAGTCCTTTTGCCTCCCCCATTCTCCCAGAGTGGGTCTTACGTTTTTGCCTCCTACTGCAACCCTCTAGTACCTCTACCTGCTGAGTAGCCACATACCTGGCTTTTCCTTTTTTAAAACTTTAAGTAAATATATGTAGCATAAAATCTGCCATAATTTGCCAGGCACCAGTGGCTCAAGCCTGTAATCCTACCTACTCAGCAGGCTGAGGTCTGAGGATCAAGGTTTAAAGCCAGCTGGGGCAGGCAAGACAAGACTGTCAGACTAAAACTACCAAAAAAGCCAGTACCCAGGCCCTGAGGTCAGGCTCATGACAGGGAAAAAAATAAAAACTAAAATAAATTAAGAGGTAGAATTATCATATATATCTTTTTTTTTTTTGGTCGTGGGACTTGAACTCTGGGCCTGGGCGCTGTCCCTCAGCTCTTCAGCTCAAGGCAAGCGCTCTACCACTTGAGC